TCGGCGACTTAGCCACTACGCCAACGGCTGGTCCCTCTGGCATGTTTCTCAAGTCACCAGGTCCAGGACCTGAGCTGTGGAATCAGCCCTGTGGGATCTAGCTGCCTTAACCACCACACCACCAGCGGGCACATCTTCTCTCCTAGCCAGGGGCCTGCTCTGTCGCCCAGACCAGCCTTGAGCTCGTGACCTTCCTGCCTCAGCCTCCCACACTGCAGGGCTCACAGGCACACACCACTGTGCCCAGCATTGAGGTTGGACCAGGAATCAGACCAGGAGCTCCCACATTGTCCTAGCCTGCAGAGCAAGCGTCTCAGCAGCATGCACCACCCAGTCGGGTCCCCCCCTTAAAATACTGAAATCTGAGTAGAGGAGCCATGTTTGCTGGAACCTAGTTGTTAAATGGAAAACCAAAGTGTGGAGAAACTGGACCATTGGCTTTGTCCATGACTTGCCAAGCCACTGAGCCCTGTGTCCTGCCACAGGTGCCTATTAAGCCACTGGACAGAAGAGTCAGGTCTGGGCAGGTCACATAGACGAGGTTGGCCTCCCTCGAAACCACAGAAGTCTGTCAAAGAGGTGGGGCCAGCAGCAAGGAGTGGCAGTCCAGGCGGAGTGACTCTTTACAGCAGGCATGGTGGGTCCTGGGCGCTGAGCCAGGTCATGAAAGACTTTCAGCATTTAAGGAAGCGTAAGGAAAACTAAAGGCAGACGCTGCCTCTCTCGTCGCCTGTCGTTCCAGGTGGACAGTGGTACGACACACTCTTCAATATGGTCATGAATGGACTTTTTTCAATGGTCGGGGGAGAGGACTGGTGATTCAGTCCTCTAAACGTTTACGAAGCAATTGGGGAAACATATGTTGGGGTTGCTGGTCACTTGATCCCTTCTTATTAATATTCCTATAAAAATACCCGGAGTAGACAGTTACAATGAAATAAAAAATAGGGAGTCAGGCAATAATGCAGTGGTAGGGCGCAGCAGTCTGCAAGGCAATCCCACGTGGGAAGGTTTCTGGTTCCAGTCCACAGGCCTGCCTGAGCACCCCGAGCATTGTGTTTGTCCATTAACCAGGGCTAACGTCTGGAGGTGGACTATGGCACTGAGACCCTGTTAGGGGTACTTTCTCGCTCACTCTCTCTCACTGAATACATAGATAAATAAAGGGTTTTTTAAAGTATTTAAAATAAAAAGGGATCTGGTCCTTTGAGGGAGTGGCCTAGTGGCTAAGAGAGCTGAATCCCTCATGGCTGACCACAGTTCGAGTCCCAGACCCAGTAGCTTAAAAAACACTCAGAGTACACATGCATTCAGGCCCTAAGTCCCTACAGGATGAGAAATGGAGGAGAAGGGACTGTGGCATTACCACGCCTCTTTTCAGGGGGTGCTTTCTTCCTCGCCCTCTCTCTCTGTCTTTCTCTGGCCTCTGATAACTATCTCTCATGGAAAAACAAAAACAAAAAACTAAACTTGACAAATATCTAAACTAATATAAATTATACAGCCCTGAACAAACGCGGGGTCACAGCTACTTACGGGCACGCCGCCTGAACGGCCACTCCTTACCCAGCATGCACCAGCATGTAGGAGATAAACCTCCAGGCTTCCTGCCTCTTCTCCGGGCTGTAGATGAAGGGACTCTCCAGGATGCCGGTGTCCAGGGTGATCCACTGCCTCTGAGGCTTCCACACCGCGTAGTAAATGAACACGGCCAGCTGGCGGGAGGAGCGGACAGTGTTTACTCACCTGCTGGAGCCCACGGCCAGCAACTCTGCCTCCCACAGCTTCCCTCCCAGGCTGGCCCTTCAAGTGCAGCTTTAGAGCTTTATGTTAGTTTGGTCTCTCTTTTTTTTTTTTTAGAATTATTTTATTTAACTTTATTTATTTATTCATTTATTTTAATTTGACTATAGAAAGACAGAGAGCGAACGAGAAAGAGAAAGTGAGAAAGCAAGCTACTAGGGCTGGGACTCTAGAATATGGAAGCTGCAGGAGTTGGAGTAATGGCTTTGTTGCTGGACTCCCATGTAGTTGACCACGGGTCAAGTCCTGGACCCGGTGGCTTAAACTCACACCAGGTGTGTATGCATGCGTGCCCAAGATCCTAAGAGGAGAATAGAAGAGAAGGGATTGCAGTGTGACCATCCTCCCTGGGGAGTGATTTCTCACTTTATGTCTCTCTGTCTCTGTCTCTCTCTATCTTTCTGGTCAGCACATGTGCGCCCTATAGCCAAAAAAAAATAGATTCTGAACTTTCTATGAGAGGCAAGTGTCTGCTCCAACATCCTTCTGTGGAAAACTGCTCTCGCTATAGCACTCACTGTCTAGACAGCTGTGGGGTTTTTACAGTTTTATTGGGTCATTGGGAAAGTCATGATGCATTTTTTATTTTTTAATCTTTTTTTAAAGAATTCTTTCTTTTTAAATTATTTATTTAATTTTTATTTATTCATTCATTTATTTCCTTAATTTGACCAGAGAGAGACACAGAGAGAGAGAGAAAGAGACAGGGAACGTGAGAAAGGAAGCCACCAGGTCTGGGACTCGAACCATGGTCGGCCATATGG